TTCAATACTTTCTTGGTCCTACGTGCCAGACAACTGAAACTATCTCAGAGCAGAAGGGGCAGGCTCTAGCCTGTAAATCAAAAGCAATTTCCTTAAAAAGAGGAATATAAGAGCTTGGAGTTCAGCCGGGCTCGGTGGCTCAGCCTGTAATTCCGCGCCTTTGGGAGGCTGAGGTGAGTGGATTGCCTGAGCCCGCAGGTTTGAGACCCGCCTGAGCAAGCGAGACCTCATCTCCACAATAAATCAAAAAAAAAAAAAATCAGCCGGGTGTGATACCATGCGCCTGTAGTTCCAACTACTCGGAAGGATCGCCAGAGCCCAGCAGGTCGAGGCTGCGGTGGCTGGAAGCAGCCACTGCACTCCAGTCTGGGCGACCGAGTGAGACTCCAACTCGAAAAAAAAAAAGAGCTTGGAGTTCTTATAAGAAATACCTTCGGTCATTACCAGTGTCTGGTCTTGCAGCGGCACAGCTCTCTGTTTAATGACACTGCAGGGTCTTCTGACCATCAGCATGACCTTGGTCCAACCAAGAATGACACCAAGTAGAGAAGAGACTGCCTCTCTGTGTGCAAGACGAGCTTGCTTCATGCCATTAAGTCAAGTCCTGCAATCCAGTCTGTCCCTGCACCTTGCACCAACTTTTCCCCCTGGTGTGCCCACACCTTTTTCCCTTTGGATGAGGGGCTCAAATGCACCCCCCAACACACTTCCTGGTGAAGCCCACCCTCCCTTTGTTCTTTTTTTTTTTTCTCCTTAACGCTTCCTTTTCTAACTCACTGTTCCCCCTTAACTTGTTTATTTCCTAGTTAGCCACACTGGAATGCAAGCTCCACGTGGGTGGGATTTTTGTGTGTTTTGTTCACTCCCATAGCCCCAAAGCCTGGAACCATGCCTGTCACCTAGTAGGTGTCGAATGAATATTTGCAGAAGAGTGGAATGAGTGACAGGTTGCTCTGCTTTTCTTCCTCTAAAGCCTGACTTCCTCTAAGCGCCCAAACAGGTTCATAAATATTCTGTCAGAACAAATGTAGTCACCTGGCCTCCCTGATGAGAAGCATGGAATCAGGAAAGATATCCCACAGGTAGAAAACGCTTCTCAGTCTCATAACCATCTGTCATCCAAAGCGAGTTCTTGGACAACAGCGGTGGGTTTTTCCCCTCATCACATGGAGGAAATGGTAGGAATGCTGGCTGGCCCCATCTCAGGAGAAGGCAGGAATGTTTGGGAAGGGGCCGCTGGACTTCCCAAGGGGCCGTGCCGAGGTCACTCTGAGCAAACCAAAAAGGCCACAGGAAGGAGAGGAGTCACTCATGTCTGCTCATGGCCGGAGGTGTGATTCTTGGTCGGCAGTTACTGGAAGTTGTAATTGTGTCAACTTGAGCACACTGGTGAGCTCAGGCCGTGTGGCGTTAGACTGCTGTCTGCCAGAAACCCTGAGAAAGATCTGTTTCGTGTTGATGAATTCATCAAGACCTCACTGGGCATCTGAGGAGGACGCTGCCATTCTGTTGTTAAAACAGAGACGCCCTCTAGGAATGAATGCCCTGGATATCAGAGCAAGGTTGAAAGTCTGTGAATTGGATGAATAATATTGACCCATGATTCTAAATGAGAGAGAATGTCTCATATCCTTGGAGTTTGTCCTTCAACAGAATGAGGAAAAGTTAAGGGAAGAAGAAACTGAGTATTGCATGGATCACTATGCTTCTATCTGACAACATCTAGCACAGATGAAAAAACGTAGTTTTACCAATAATGATCTGTTCTCCCCCACATGCTCTGACGTTTATACTCTGGATTTCAATTGATCTCATTCGTCTTATTTGTTCCTGACCCTTTTCTTTAATGTCAAACCCCCCCCCCCCCCCGCAAAAAAAAGAAAAATGCTGAATGTGTATTTGCTATTTTGAAAGAGCTGAGATGGGGGAGACTGGTCTGAACTCAGCAAATGCAATGAGTCTCAGTCCTGTGCTTGCCTGGGGTCTGTGGTATTCCCAATTCCTTGGAAAACAAGGAAAGACAAAACACTCTTTTGCAAGCACCTCTTGTTATTCTAAATATAAACCTTCCTGAGACTTACAATTTATCCTAGTGTCTTTCCTAATTAGCATTAATATTTGCTAGAAATCAGTTCCCTTCCCGAAGGAACTGATAATAGTTTGTCACAGCACCCAGTTGATATCACTGAGTGAGAATCACTTTTCGTCTCCTGGATCAGGCCTGGAAACACGTATGTGTCCTAGGAAAACTCTTAAGTATCAGAGAAATTCCAGTCTGTACCTTGGTGGGTCTTCCTTCTTTGCAAAGAACTGCTCTTAATTCCTTGTATAATGAGCCATTTTTTTACTACACCTTATCACTTGAAAAAAATATGGTTTTTCTGGTGGATCATTGTTTAAAGCTATTCGGCATCATTTTGATACCACAAATAATCAATCTGTCTGCCAAGGGAAGTTATAAAGATTTCGAAAGGAACTTTGTTACACCAAGTTACCGCAAGAAAGTTCTGGTTTATTACTTTTGCATCCAATAGGGCAGCACTTTCATTTATTAATTTGTTTGTAGATTAGCATTATGCTCCAGAGCTAATAACCTGAGATTGATGAAAACCACATGGAGGGGATGGTGCAGTATTATCAATTTGGCTGTGAAAAACCTCCTGATCTCCAAGTATTGCCAAACTCAGTCATTACTTGGTGGCTAGACTGCCATCTTCAGGGAAATAAACTTTCTGTTTTTCTGGCATGCTCATACCTTATAATCTTTCTGCCTTAAGACATACAAAAAGCCGGGCTCGGTGGCTCAGCCTGTAATCCTGCACCTTTGGGAGGCTGAGGTGAGTGGATCGCCTGAGCCCGTGGGTTCAAGACCTGCCTGGGCAACCTGGCAAGACCTCATCTCTACAATAAATCAAAAAATTAGCCAGGCGCGGTTGCGCGTGCCTGCAGTTCCAGCTACTTGGAAGGCTGAGGCAGAAGGATCACTGGAGCCCAGCAGGTCGAGGCTGCAGTGGCCGAGAGCGGCCACTGCACTCCAGTCTGAGTGACAGAGTGAGACTCCAACTCAAAAAAAAAAAAAAGACATAGAAAAATGCATTTGTAAAAAAGAGTGAGACAGTATATGTTGGGTGACACTAGCTGCTTTGGGAAACAAACCCCACATTCTCAGTGGCGTACCATATTAGAAGTATATTTTCCAGCCGGACTCAGCGGCTCAACCTGTAATCTCAGCACGTTGGGAGGCCGAGGCGAGTGGATTGCCTGAACCTGCGGGTTCAAGACCAACCCGGGCAACTTGGTGAGCCCTCATCTCTACTATAAATCAAAAATTAGCCGGGTGTGGTAATGTGTGTCTGTAGTTCCGGCTACTTGGAAGGCTCAGGCGGAAGGATCGCAGGAGCCCAGCAGGTCGACACTGGGGTGGCTGTGAGCATGCCACTGTATTCCAGTCTGGGTGATGGAGTGAGACTCCGACTCAAAAGAAAAATAAGTATATTTTCCTTCTATATGACACTCTGGGGCTCTAGGCTGCAAGTGACTTCCCTCCCTACGGTAAGTCAGGACCAGATGCTGTATCTGGCTCCTCCATCTCCTACAACCATGGAATATCCTGATCTCAGCTGGCAGAGAGAAGAAGAAAGGACATAAAGAAGGGATATGTCCTTAAATACCACCAACCAAAATGAACTACATCACTTTTGCTCATGTCTCAGTGCCAAGAATTAGTCACACAGTCCACCCAGGTCCATGGGGGCTGGGTATGGCCCTCTCGACCATGGAAGGGAAGTGTCACTTTGCTGGAGATTTAGCTGACTCTGCCATACCCTTCTTTGTAGCCCTGGAATTTAGAGGCAGTAACAAGATTTGCATTTCCAGAGCACCTCCATTCAACTGTGCTAGAGGGAGACAGTGATTTGATCTTCTTTGTAGAACTGAATGCCAATATTGGCCATCCCTGCCCTACGGTGGCACCGTGTGTCCCTGGAATCATGACACGTCATTTATGCCTCTTTTTTCTTTGCACTTTCCTATAAGAACATTGGTATGGGCCAGGCGCAGTGGTTTAACCTGTAATCCTCGCACTTTGGGAGGCTGAGGCGAAAGAATTGCCTGAGCCCGGGGGTTAGAGACCAGCCTGGGCAACTTGGCGAGACCTCGTCTCTACAATAAATCAAAAAATTAGCCGGGCATGGTAGCACACGCCTGTAATTCCGGCTGCTCGGAAGACTGAGGTGGAAGGATCGCCGGAGCCCAGCAAGTCGAGGCTGCGGTGGCCAGAGTGGCCACCGCACTCCAGTCTGGGTGACAGAGTGAGATTCCCACTCAAAAAAAAAAAAAAAAGAGCCGGGCTCGGTGGCTCAGCCTGTCATCCCTCGCTTTGGGAGGCTGAGGTGAGTGGATTGCCTGAGCCCGCGGGTTCAAGACCCGCCTGGGCAGCGAGACCTCATCTCTACAATAAATCAAAAAATCAGCCGGGCATGGTAGCACATGCCTGTAATTCCGGCTGCTCAGAAGGCTGAGGCAGAAGGATCGCCGGAGCCCAGCAGGTCGAGGCTGCGGTGGCCGGGAGCAGCCACTGCCCTCCAGTCTGGGTGACAGAGACTCCAACTCAAAAAAAAAAAAAAAATTGGTATGTGTCTGAATTCCAAGCTACAGATCCTAAGAATTCACTTTCTGTTGCATCATTTCACCCAGAACTATTCACAGTGTCTGTAATGAGACTGCCTAAATTTGTGGATTTGAAAAGCCATCCAAAGAACGTTCCTGTTTTGAGAAAACCCTTCCTCATCGGGGGTGTTGGCACTGCGCAGGGATGGATGTCAAGATGTGACTGAATGTGCTTGCTTTATGCTGAGTATTTGAGCCTTCATTCACTGAGACTAGCCGCGAACCCCTGGGCAGACGTGGCCAGTGGGTCCCTTATGCCCGTGAGGGCACGAAGGGCAGGAAAGGCCACTCTGCGGCCTGATGATTGACTGTTTTGGGCTCTCCTCTCTCAGGTACCCGTTTCCCATGGTGTTTAGCAGCTGCAGCAGAAAGGACTTGGAGAACAGTCTGGAGAAAGGAATGGGGATGTGTCTCTTTAACCTGCCGGAAGTCAAGCCGTCTCTCGGGGGCCAGAAGTGTGGGAACGGATATGTTGAAGAAGGAGAGGAGTGTGACTGTGGAGAGCCGGAGGTAAGAGGGCCACTTCCAGAACATTTGCCTTGTAGACTTGGCTGGGCACAGCCGCAAGAACTTGGAGAGATTGCACAGTAAGACGGAAAGGCAAGAAACTCAGGCGGGAACGGTCCTATGTGGCCACCTTGAACAAGCCGGAATGGCCTTCCTGAATTTTAAGTATTGCATGGAGTAAGTGGTTTCACTTGGTTTAAAAAGATAAAGCATCTTCTCTATCGAAGGGTGCGGTGTTCTCAGCAAGATGAGGACAAGTACAATAAAAAAGCACTCAGTTTTGAGTTTGACAGAGAAGAAAGCCCTGGAATCTGAGCTCAAATAGCTAATAAGCACCATTTCTTTCCCTTTGTAAGGCAGGCTACCAGAGGGGAATTTGAATAAGCAACTTTCATTTTTAACCAAGAGCTTCCCCTTAAGTTGAAATTCTGCTTTGCTGCTGCAGCCTCCTCTGCATGCACGACCTGAGGCTTCCGCCTCTCGTGCTTGTAGCTTTCAGAAGCAATAAGCAAAAGCAGGGAATGTTTTTATCCAGCACACAGCTTATTTTGCCCTGTTTTCCAGGCAACACCAGGAAGTTTTCTTGTTTCTATAGGGCCCGTGATCAAGCTCATCAACGGGGAAACTGTAACAGCCACTTTTTCATCTCTGAATAGCCTTGAGAAGGCAGAGAGGACAGAGTGAGACCTCAAAGCAGTTGTGTTCAGAGCAAAACAAAGCAAGCAGTTTGTATAGCAGGCGGTCTCCGTGTGGCATTCCCTCTCTGAGAGTTTATGCAAGCCGAGATGGCAGACAAGTTTATGGCAGGCTTAGCTAAATTCATAGATGGGCTGAACGAGGGTTCAGGAAGAGCGTGTCTCAGAGGACTGTTCTGAAAGGGGGATTCTAGGATAGGAGGAGAATTGTTTGGAGACTCTGGAGCAGCCCATGTATCCTGCGCTCCTCAAACAAACAACAGAATCTTCCTCTTATCCCCATCCTCAAGTTTCTGAGCTTTTCCATACCTGCGGGAATGATCTTGGTCTGACAGTTGCTGCAAGAATGTTAGAGGTGTGTATGTATGTGTTGGGTGGGTGGAAAGTTACAGCAGTGCTTTTTGTTGTTGTTGCTGTTGTTGTTTTTCAAATAGTTTTGTGCTTCTGCCAAATTTAGAACTTATCAATGATGATTAACATTGTCTGCAGTGGTGTTTAATTTTTCTCACAATGAGTGGTTGCAGTGTAGGAGCAAGTCCTAATTATAGTGTTACAGGAACTCTTTTTAAGATGAGTGGAAGAAAATGTAAAACCACTCATGGGTTGGGGTGTGCACAGGAGAAGTCCCTCGGAGGCCTTGCTAATTACTTAAAGGGAAAAAAATGAATTAGCTTAAATTATTCATTTCTCAGGAGAGGCCCTATTGAATGAAATGGTTTTTCTTTGATTTTTAACTTCTTATAATGATTTGTTAATTTAAATAAACCTGACAGCTCTTCGTGAAGCCATGAACTCTCAGGTTTGAAATGACCCAACGAGCAGTCACTTACTCCATATGCCACCAGCGTCAATAGCATCCCTGCTGCCATCACCACCACCACTGTTAAAACTGCCCGTGTTACCATTTCCACGATCCTGACCTCCACTTTCACCACCCACCTTCACCATCTATCACCTCCACTATCCCACCATTATCGCAACCACCACTGTCTCCACAGCTACCATTACCAACATCACTGCCACCCCCCCCACTACCACCGTTATCCCCACCCTCCTCATCATGTCAGCAAATGCCTGAGTGCCTAAGTTGCCAGCCACTTGTGTTCTGATCAACTTCTGTCTCCATGAAGGAGGCATGTGGCTTTGACAGGGTGCTTACTGTCTCTCCAGATAGCACATGGCATTGCAGGGTAGCTTTGATGATCACAAACTCTCTCCTGATATAGAACCAAATTCTCCTTGCATGCGATTTCCAACTTTGTATTTCTGTGGTTACAGTCCTTATTTCGTGGGACCCGTTCTTAATATTTGAAGGGAACTCTTATTCTCCTTACTCAAAGTTCCTTCTTCTAAAAAAAATCTTTCCAAGTCAGATAGGAGCCTTTTGCCTCGCTTTTTAGTTTTTTCCTTATGTTTTGCTTTTCAAGGTTCAAGTTCAAATTGTGTTTGGCAGTGTGTCAGCCCAGTTCCGGTTTCCAAACGACTTTGACCAAGACCTTCAGTCAGACTTGTTAACCTGGGTTCTTTATCCCCCTTCCCAGTGCTCAGGCCTTGGAAATATTCATCACGCCCTTGCATCAGATTGGCCTATGCATTCTCTGGCCCTCAGAGGGACCTAGTATGTTGCCACATCAGGGAAGGAGTGGGTGAACGGAATCCAAACAATTTCTACCAGCACTTAACAGAAACCAGCTTCTGCTCCCTTACTCCCAGAAATAATCTCCATTCGTTTCAGAAAGATGCATTTCAGTCTTCTCCCATTCATTGTGATTAACAATCTATGCCTACTACCTACAACATGAGAATGACAATTATGGTTTTGCAGAGAATTCTCTAATGGTTTCATTATTCTTTCTTCTTTGGAGACTTAGTATTCATGGGCTCTGTTGGACTTCTCTATTGAGTGCTAAAATAATAAATGCACCAACAGATGAAGAATTTGTCTCTTCTGAGAAACATGGTACTGCAGAAGAAATAGATTCTGCCCAGTTGGAAGGCAAGTTGATTGCTGAAGGCTTCCTGGACAGGGCACTGGATTTATATCAACATAAGGATATCTGGCAACTCACTCATTCTTCTAGCTAACAGAATTGGGAAAGCAGGCCTATCTCCTTGTTTAAAGTCAATAGGATGCCAGTAGCTTGCAAATATCTTCTAAACTTAGTCATCTTTCTCACCTTATCAATCCCCTTTGAAGTCAAAGTCATTCTGCCTGGCTACATTTCCATTTAAGCTGCGGCTTGTGTTATCTGGTGATTTGGGAGGGAGCAGAAATCGTTCTTAAAGATTTTAGGACCCAGATTTAGGAGAGCCGATTTCACCTAGAATTTCAAGAAAATCTAAAATTAGGAAAATATATCATTAGTCGAGCCATCAAGACCATGAGGATCAGGACAGCTCTGCTGTGCGTTTGATGAGGAATGCAGTTAATGAGCTCCTTTAAAAAAAAACAAGCTCCTAAATTTTTTCAGAATTGTAAGTCCATGAGTTAGAAATCTTTACTGTCATGAAAGTTACAGCTATGATTTCTGCTTGGTAGTTTTATCTTTTTGTATATATTACACATTCCGGATGTTTATAAAGTCCTCAAACAAATTTAAAATTTAATAACTTTGGAAGTATACATAATAGGAGCAAATGATAAACACCAAATGAGAGCATAATTCATAGAGTTTTGCACAGAATATAATTCAGTATCTGTTTGCCATAAGTCTTCTAGATTATTGACAATTTTATTCATTGCATTTATGATACTAATGAGAAATCAATTCAAAAAAATCATTTCCAGAAGTATACTATTAAAATAGTATATGATTAGCTTCACCCCAGCCAGTAGTATATAAATTTTTCAGAGCTCTTCATATATTGAATGATATAAAAGATCACTGATAAATTAAGTAGTATTAAAGACACTATGATCTGTCCCATTTCATGATGATTACCATTTCTTCGAAAATGAGTAAACTCCAAGTTGTTGGATTGCACTCAAGTACAAGGACTTCATAAATTCACTAGATAAATGTCTTCAGGCCTTTTGTTGAGAACTAAGCAAAAGATATCAATCTCTTGTTAGAAAAAGAAATGAGCACTTGTAAAGCACAGCATAATAAAGGAGTCCATTTCTTCTCTCATTTTGGTTTCAGAGAGGATAATACATCTAATGGTTGATCTATCTATTGAAATCCCTTGCAAATCAATGAGCACGGGCCTCAGACCTCCTTCTGGATTCTTAGTCATTCTAATGTCCGTTCCTGACCCTCAGAGTACCTTGTCAGGCCAGACAGCCTACCTGTGATGAGCAAAGTGTCTCATCCACTACTATTTGGTTGGATTGCAGGAAACTGTGGTTCAAACACAATTGATTTGATCTCTTTTCCTGCCAGTATGCTCTAGATCACAAGGGTTAGTTTTCGAAGAGTAAAGATTGTGTGCACCTATGTATATTTTTTTAACGAGTAATGTCCAAGTCCTCCAGGGATCCTGATGCAGTCTGCTGCAATGAGACCTGCATGCAGACCTTCTCCAAAGTCTTGCCGTGCTGTGAACTGAAGTGATGTCCTGGCCAGCCAGCCTTCCATCGTGGCTCCTTTTCATGAAAGGCACTCACATGCTACTGGCTTTTCCCAGGGACTCATAGACCCAGTTGGCTCATAAACACTTGGCAGAAGGTTTGCTTCCTCATAGATCAAAATAAGCTTTAGGCAGGTGTTCAGTTCAGCAGCTGGGCTCTCTTGGTTCTTCTTTTTCTGCAGTTGCTTAGGTGTGACATTTGTATTTAGCGAGTAGTTGTTGGGTTTGCCCCTGTCACACAGATCCTTCCCTTCTCCAGGAGTGCACAAATCGCTGCTGCAATGCAACCACCTGCACCTTGAAGCCAGACGCTGTGTGTGCACACGGGCTGTGCTGTGAAGACTGCCAGGTGAGTCACCGGAGCCGCAGCTTGGCCCCAGGGCCACCGACAGGTTTGGGTGGCTCACGTTTTTTGCAGGGCAAGCAATGTAGCGGGACCATTTCCCAGAGCTCACTGCCATGGAAACCATCACTCCTGTTCACACCAGTTGCTGTTACCCATCTCTTATTTTTTTTTAATCTTCTACTCTTCAGGAAAATGCACATTTTAATTGCTAGTCATGTGTGATTAAATTATTGTTGATGAGCTGAAAACTCTAGCTCAACATTAAGTGTTCCATGTGTGTTCTGGTATGTGCAGTCCTACTATGCTAACAAGAAGCACAATGTAAGAGAAAGTCCACACCCCGCTGCCCCTCATCCTTATCCGGTTTCATCTTCTTGATCCCAAGACCGTTTTGCCTGCTGCACCAAGAAACTGTGTGGGTTGCTCCAGGGATTTTTTTTGCAAACAACTCAGTCTTCGCGTCCTCCCAGCAGAATTTGCTGACCAACCCAGGCCAACCGAGAGTGGCAGTTTTACCCTTTTGCCATTTCTGCTGCATTTGTTTTGGCAGTTCTATTGTCTGTCTCATTATTTAGAGCCAGTATCTGACAGAGTAGAAGCCTGAGCTTTTGATTCAAGGGTAGAGTTTTATTTCTTTTTAATTAAGCAATTGATCTTAGCGTTCTGCTAACAGGAAACTCCCTCTTAGCTGCCCCACGCGAGCACGGTGATTTAGAAATGCATTATCACATTTGATGTTCAGCTTTAAAATATCCTTCATTCCCTTCCTAATGGTGATTAACTTATGGGGAATATTATATGCATCTGGCACTGCCTGGCATGCAGCAACTGGCAGCGGAAGGGGCTGGTAGGGGGCTGGGGAAAGGTGGGAGGCCAGCCCAAGCTTATGCCCAGGTGATGCCCAAGAAAGATCACAGGAGAGGGAGGTAAGTGAAAGCCACATGGCAGTGCCCGGATGTGGCCCACTTTTAGGCTATGGCTTTTAAACGATCCCTTTCAACTTCCAGATCTTCTAGCAGTTGGCAGAAGTCTTATATCATTGTCTTTGAGGAGAGTGCAGGAAACCAATCCCAGGCTTGAGAGAGGTCCCTGGCTATGGAGCTTCAGACAAGCCACGCTGGGCCTTAATTTCTTCAACCACAAAGAGCTGAGTCATTGGTCCGGCGGTTTCTGACAACCTTGTTCTTCTTCTCCGGTGCTCCCCATAAAGAGAGGGTTCCGGTTCTATGATTTGATGACAAAGTAAAATTGCTGTCGTGGTTGTGCCCTTGAAATCATTTTTGTCAACTTGTCCACAAATGCTAACACTGTAGGTCCAAATGGCATCTTAAAACATGTGATGGTGTTGACAACCAGAGACCTCCTTCTTAAGAATCAACCAGCCCAGCCGGGCTCGGTGGCTCAGCCTGTAATCCCGTCCCTTGGGAGGCTGAGGTGGGTGGATTGCCTGAACCCGCGGGTTCGAAACCCGCCTGGGCAACTTGGCGAGACCTCATCTCTACAATAAGTCAAAAATGAGCCGGGCATGGTAGCGCACGCCTGTAGTTCCAGCTCCTTGGAAGGCTGAGGCGGAAGGATCGCTGGAGCCCAGCAGGTCGAGGCTGCGGTGGCCGGGAGTGGCCACTGCACTCCAGTCTGGGCGATAGAGTGAGACTCCAACTCAAAAAAAAAAAAAAAAAAAAGAATCAGCCAGCCCAGCAGTCAACACAACCCTCCCTCCCCTTCCTCTGAGGTGCCATGTTCCAGCAACCAGTTTGTCTGCTCTTCAAAGAACCCTAATGTTGTAAAACATTAAAAGGAGGCTGCTCGCCATGGCTCTGTGCCCCCTGTAGAGAAATGGTGAACCCCAAGACCCCACGTGAGAATCTGACTGTTTAATGAGCCTTTTCTGCCTTTAAAGGGGGCTTCCTTTGAAATCTCCATCCCTTTACATGAGGTTATGTTAAGATGGCCTGGCTCCATTGGACCTCAGGCGTGCTGCTGAGAGCTGCCTCTCCCTTCCCTGGATGCATGTGCTATCGACGGCCCTCTCTTTCCAGCTGAAGCCTGCGGGGACGGCGTGCAGGGGCTCTGGCAACTCCTGTGACCTTCCAGAGTTCTGCACGGGGGCCAGTCCTCACTGTCCCGCCAACGTATACCTGCACGATGGACACCCGTGTCAGGGGGTGGATGGCTACTGCTACAACGGCATCTGTCAGACCCACGAGCAGCAGTGCGTCACTCTCTGGGGACCAGGTAGGTGGTCACCACCAGATGGACACTGGCAAGGGTGCTGGCAGGTTTGGGGTGGTGGGAATGGATGAACACTGTTTCCACGCACTCTCACTCCTGAAGGATGCTGTCCACACAGCCTCCTGCGCGTTCCAGTTGGGAATAATTGACTCCCTAGGAGACGGGCTGGGGCCATGATGGACATGAGATGGGCAAAAACGAATGCTGCCTGGAGCCTGCCCTTGAGATGCAATTCAACAAGAGATGCCTGAGCCCCTACTGTGTGCCCCATAGAATGACAGGGATGGAGTCTGCCATGACTCCTGCCTTCAGATAGCTTAGCGTGTAGTTGGGCAGACAGATGAACAGACAGAACTTCCCACTACCACACAGACTGTGGTCATGGCCTTTTGAGCTCAAAATGGGGACCCCAACCGAGGACTGAGGGTGCCAGAGAGAAAGTCGTTGCAGCTAGAGTGGCCAGGGACACCAGGGGGAAGCCCTTGATTGGATTTGATTACGAGGATGTCTGTGATTGGGAAGAACTGGGAGCAGTGAGCTGCTCTCAGCTGGGAAAGCACATGGCTGGCTCAAATAAGAGGCCATTCTTTCGCCACTCCACCAGTTTCTCCTGGGCACTTGGCATGTTTTGTCTCTTCTGACTCTGCCTCAACCCCCTGAGGTAGGGACAATGACCACAGTTTTACAGAGGGTAAAGCTCAAACTCTGAGACAAGAAGTCAGTTTTCCCAAGGTCTCCAGACTAAGCTTTGAACCCGGGTCCTTGTGACACAGCGCCTGTGTGTACGGTCACCCCAGAGAGTGAGATCTGAAATGAGAACTTCACCAAACCTCTAAAACTGGGTGGAAGATCAGACACAGAAAGGGGAAGAATTGATCCCTGTGTGTGTCTCTCTCTCTGTGCCCCAGCTCCTGGGGTCAGAGATCCAAGGCCGCCCCAGGCAGCCCCGGGCCCCAAGGCCTCATCACCCAGGAACCAATTGGGAGTTGATGCCCGACTGCACTTCCCAGGATTCCAGTTGTGAATCCAACAGCATGGGACCCATCCTGTTCTGTAATTCTTTCTCTTTCCCTATTGCAATGCGGCGGCCGCATTTGCTCACTCCCTCCCCTTGCTGGCTCAGGGGTGACCTCAGCCCTGGCCAGAGGCTCCAGCTTTGGCAAGACCACTGTGGTTGGTCAGGCCCAGGCTGAAAGCCAAGCAAGCTCAGGCAGGGTCTCTAGAGGGAGGGAAATCTGATACAGCCCTTTGTCAGGCTTTTGTTGTGAGGTTTTGGTTTTAGGGTTGATGAAGGAAGAACATGAGCAGAAGACGATGACTAAACCTCGAAGCTTGGGCTTTGAATGAGATGAAAAAGCAACAGCCAAGGATAGAGAGCAGGATGGTGTTTCTTGGAGATGGGTCTTGCTGGAGAGCCACTGCCCCTGCCAGCCAGAGATGCTCTTCTATGCTTGGAGCTTTTTGAGGAAGAAGAAAGAGCAGCATGGTTATAGCAAAGAGGCACAGCTCGATCTTACCCTCTGAGAAGGTCTTCCTGTGCTCTTCATGATTCATGGGTGTACTTGGGTGGGTGGGCTGAGACTTACAGTTCCTGGACCCTTAGTGCTTGCTTCATCTTTGGACCCTAAGCAGCCCTCAGCTCTGATATCCTTGCCCGCCTGGGTTGGGAAGGGGGACACCCTACTGCAATGACAAGCGCTAAGTCGACACTCACTATACACCTCTAATGGTTGCAAGGGTTCTACATGGTTTAGTGACTTCAGACACCTTTTAGCCAAGTGAAGTAATTTTGGGACTGTGGCTCCTTTCGTAAGTCAGATCTTCATGGACTAAAACATCTCTAGTGGCCTCCCCCTTCCCAGCCTTTCTTCAGGGTCAGGGGTCTCCCCTTCTTGAGTTAGAAGGGCAATTATGACGCTCCTTCCCATGGTATTCCTTGATACCCTGCCATAGTATAGCATGTAACCCCAATTCTGTCCCCCCACCAACCTCCTGAGGTAGGGACAATGACCATGGTGAGGTCAGATGGAGATGGAGCTCAACATTTCTCTTGAAGCTGCCACCCCTGTGGGACTCAGCTGGCCTGTGTGCCTTTGATTCATAGTGACCAGGGCTGGTATTTATCATCTCATCGAACTAGTCCTTCTCCAGCTGCCCGACCAGAAAAAGAGAGAGAGAGAGAGAGCCTGCAAACCAGGCAGGCAAACAGGTGGACAACCCGACCCACAGACTGAGTTTTCAAAAGCAAGAGCAATAGAAAGACACCTGCAAAGGCTGGGCTCGGTGGCTCAGCCTGTCATCCCAGCCCTTTGGGAGACCGAGGCGAGTGGATTGCCTGAGCCCGTGGGTTCAAGACCAGCCCGGGCAACTTGGCGAGACCTAGTCTCTACAATAAAATAATTTTTAAAAAATAGCCGGGCATGGTAGCGCACACCTGTAGTTCCAGCTACTAGGAAGGCTGAGGCAGAAGCATTGCTGGAGCCCAGAAAGTGGACCCCGGGGTGGCCGTGAGCGTGTGTGACACTGCACCCCAGCCTGGGCAAAGGAGTAAGACTCCAACTCAAAAAAAAAAAAAGTCACCTGCTTTAAACTCTCATCGTCCTTATGGCTGAAGATGAGGCTGGAGGTTTGCCTGCCCAGGAAGCTGCGTCCCCTTCTGAGAATGGAGATTACCTGGGAGCAGGTTACCCTCTAACATAGCCTATAATCTATTCTGTTTATTATAGCGCATGTAGTTCCATGCCAGATGCACAGCACCTGGTAAATCTAAACTCTGTAGAGGAAAAGCAGCAGTAATCACAGGAAGCTCGGACTAGTGAACAAGATCCATCTTTGTCAAGTGGGTTGTGAGTGGATCACGAGCAAGATATGGTGGAGGGTAGCTGACGAGGAGGCTTTGAAGATGAGGTTGCCCGGGTAGCCATTTGCCAGGAGTGGAAGAGGAAGGATATTTCTGGCATAACGGAATAGCATAGATGAAAGTACACAGGGACAGAGGGGCTGACCAGGGGAAGTGCAGTCATTCTGTGTGTGGAGTTTAGGTTGTGACTGGGAGATCAGAGATCCTCATCTTCCACACCATTCTCTCATTTATTAAGTATTTATTGACATCCGGCTCTGCGTAAAATGCTGACTCAAGAGCCCCGATCCTGCCAGAGTGGCCCGCTTCCCACAGCCCCGTGCACGGCTGCCTGGATCCGGAGGGGGGTGAGGATGTGGCTGCCTCACCACGTCCTCCTGGGAGGCATCGGTCCCGGGACAGACAAAGTCCTGGGGGCAGAGGTGACTTCCCGGGCCAGGCCCCTGGCCAGCCAGATGTACGAGGTCGAGAGCATTTTTATGCTTTGTTACACTGGTTGGTTTGAATTCGCTTTTCATGATTCAGAAAAGGAAAACTTGCTGTCAAGAATGCGTTTTCCCCACCCATGAGCAAATGCTCCAGGATCTGGGCCATGTTTGCACTGGGGTCATCGTAGCCTCCTGGGACGCACAGTAACTCTGAATCCAGGAGTCACTGAGTGCTTGCTCGGGTTGCCTCTTGACGTTCGCACCCCAGTGGGCTGGCCGAGTCGCTGAGTTGTCCAGAATTCTCCAGCTATGTTCAGAATGTCCGTTACTCACTTCCCAGGTCTGGCTACCCAAACACTGACCGGATGAAGCCCTTTCTTCCAACTAACGGTTCCCTTTTGAAATGGGCTTTGCTTGATCCAGCATTATGTTTCAATAAAATAATCCTGCTTCTAAATCTTTCTGCAAATAAAATGATAGAACATTCAAAACATATGCCTGCAACTTCTAGCTGGCAAAGTAACACACTTTCAGAATACCTTTTGGGTGTTTTGTTCATTTATTTGTTTTTCTAATTATTATTGTTGTTTATAATGTGTGTTATTATTGGCCGGGAGTATAATTTCTTTCTCACTGATTTTCTCCCACAGATTTTGTATGGCAAAACTTTCTGTGTTGATGTCAAACACACAAATGCCGTCTGCAGTTCAAACTGTGTGGTTGGCGTTTAGTCCAATTTAGCCTTGATATCCACAAAGATTTTCTGTCAATGGGATGTGACCTTTATTCCTTTTGAAATACAGCTGGATGTTTTCCTTTGGGCAGCAAATTTGCTTTTGCCGATGTTGTTTGTCAGAATCACTAGCATGGTTCCTGAAAACACCACTTGACAATTAATCTCACAGATAACTGTACATCTAAAGTCACAAACAATTTGCATCAGAGAATTCCTGAAATATATTATTTTTTTCCTACGGTATCACTCACTAGAATCTAGGGTCATTCGATTTATGCAGTCTGAGCTGGATAGACAGTTTTCATGAGCTGATGAACACTCAGTGTTTATCTGCAAGGCTAGTTTAAAAGGACTTGGTTTATTGTGATCCACCTGGTGCAGTGTTTCTACTAATCTCCTCCAACCCCTGTGACCACAGATGGGAAGAAAAGATATTTCTGCCAGGAGCCATATTGTTTAGAAGTCAGTAAAAATCTCCATTTTGTCCCATCCAGTGAGAAGGAAACGATAAAATTTGTTCATTTGGATCTCATTTTCTGATGAATGCAAAAGTCCGTTTGAAGGAGAGAGACAGGAAAAGAAGAGAGCCTCTGTTTTTGTTTTGTTTTTTTTGTAAAAATGCCTTTCTCTGTGGATATTAGTGACAGGGATAAGGGAAATTAGTGACAGAGAGAGAGGAGGAGCTGATTTGACTGAACTGGAGACGTGTATTTGCATAATGGAGTCATTTCAAGTAAAAGATTAGATAAAATAAATTGTGGGCTTAATTCAAGATACCATAATTTCTCTTTCAAAAGACATAATGACATTGAGTACTTCCAAACTACAAGTATAAGTGTAAGCTATACCACTCTAAAGATAAAACTGGTCATTAAAATCCATCACTTCCTACATAATTATAAAATAGAGTATGATGTCAGAATTCCCTCTGAAAGGCTAAATTTTATCTTTTGGTAACAGCCAAACATCTAAGTGTTCT